CCTTTCACCAAGTGTGAACTTTCCACAACCCATTTCAGTGATGCCATCTTTTACTGACTCTAGCTTGGGTGTTGTGCACAACAGCAACAGCTCAACCAACTATACCTGGACTCACACCCTGTGAACAAAAAGCAGAGGAATGCAGCAGCAAAGCCTCTCCCTGGGCAGAGCAGAGAGGAATAAGTCTCTGTGGACTCACCAAATCACACCCATTTGGTCAGATATAGCTGCAGTCCGCAGGGAGATGAGAAAACAAGACAGGTTTCATGATGTCAAGAAGGGGTGTTGGTTCAATACCCTTTGTGTTTAGTATTGGTCACCATGCTTAATTGCCCATGTGTCAGCGCATTAATAATAAACTGAAACATACTTGTCATTTTTGTGGGTTACTCCCTTTTCAAAGAAGAAAACTTCAAGGGTGCAGGCCCATCTTTTAACAAGCACATCCAAAACTATCACCTGGAGCTAAGCAACAGAGAACTCATGTGAAATTTACAGCATTCATTGATGAAGCCAAGAGGAAGAAGGCTTTAACTGTCCTCAAAACTCCTAGTATCATGTTTGAAGATCTTCATTCTGCTGTTCTCACTAAGCGGATCAGACAACTGCCTTGACTGTTTCATAATCAGGGCAGCTAACCACATCCTCTACATGCCCTGCTGATTTTTTTTGCAAAAGTTTTCATGATGCATCCTTAAAATAAGCTGCTGAAACTGCATGCTTTCCATATTCACTGCAAATGCAGAGTATTTGCACATTTCAGAGCATTTGTTTGTCTGTATTTGTGCAAAACTTGACTCCTAAACCCGGCACAAAAAAGAAACTGCCAAAACTCTTTCTAAGCTAAAACCTACATACATCCTGCTAACACCAAGCATGCATATACAAAAGTTTCCTTGCATAAGTGTTGGAGGATAAAGCAGAAGAAAATGCATATCTAAAAATGTCTGAATGCTTCCTTCACTTTAAACTGCAAAACAAAAGACATCTTTCAATCATCGTCTGCATGTTTTCTTGAAAAGCCACTGCATTCTTTCATCTAAAATTACAGTGCGACTGCCTTTGGTTCTGGGATGACTAAACTGAGTCTTCATCGAGCAAGCAAAGCTGCAAACGGTCAGAAAACCAAAACAAAGAGTTAGAGGAAGGTAGGTAGAACATGCAGATGAAAGACTGCCAGACACAACGGAAAACATATTCCAACTGCAATCACAGGAGGTTTGAGAACAAGGCTGTTTTACTGGGACTCTTCTGGGCTTTGCTCTGAAACCCCGCAAGTAGTTTTCCATCTGCTGAGCCCACAGTCAGTTCCAGTTATTTCTAAAGGCCTTCTGTGCAGTAGACCAGGAGGGGAGCATGGCTATACAGAGATGTAGCAAAACATAGGAAAGAAATGCAGCAGTAGAAGGATGGCATTTCTAAAATACAGTATGAAAGCACATTTAGAGTCATTACTGCTCAACAGGCAATTTCAAAGGTTAAGGGGGATAACAGAAACAGCTGCTGGTCTGATGTAATGTGTCTGAAAGCTTCAGAGGCTTGCACCTGGTTCGGCTCTGCCACAAATCAAACTGACTACCAAATGAAAGAACCTCTCTGAACAGAGACAGGAAAGGCATGAGCAGGTATCCCAGGTTATTAAACATTTCTCCATCTGCTTTTTTCTTAATGTGTCTTTTAAGGGTTTCAAAAATCTGGCCCACACAACTAGCAGCATCATGGTCGACCAGATCTGTTCCCATGGAGATTGCCGACTGTTCGGCATATTATTAAGGTGGGAAGGACAGCCAAATTAAACGTAAAGTCAGACGAGACATAGTTAGGGGGCCACATGTCAGCCCAAGTAAGTTTCTAAACTTTTGATTCAAATTTTTCTAAGAACTAAATGATATTCAAGATGCAAAAATAACAGATATGTCTGTGGCAGTTCGTTTGTTAGAGGAAGTCATTTTAAGTTTACCCCCAAAAAAAGACTTAACAGTTTCATCCCCATTTAGGCATCAAAGTAGGTTCTAAGCATGAAGCTGAAGTTGGTTTCTGATTTGCAATACATTTAAAGGGCCATTCCACCACATTTCTTCAGCTTGTGTATCTTGAATCTTCTGTAGATCAAAAATTATTCAAACATGGACAAGATTATTGTACACTAATAGCAGAATCTTTAAAACAGCCTTTTGGAATTTGCGAAAGCTCTATTTGAGTTGTGAAAATTCAATAAGGGGCTAATAAAATGTTTTTGCATTTCAGCCATGTTAGAACTGTTCCTGGTAAAAAAATATAGTACTTCGACAGTTTAAACCGGGACTAGATTATTCTAGCCTGGGTGCCATTCCGAACTTAGTCCCGCCCACAAGGTTTGAGGTCGGGAAGTTCGGTCTGGCTCTGCTCAATAGTAGCGCGAGTATTATCGCCCACTGTCAGGCGATCCAATCAAATTGTCAGGGTGGGCTTTATACGATGATGGACAGTTGATCAACAGTAACGTAATCAACCACGTAACCAAAGCGCGCATGGGTGACAACAACAATGGCTGCCGCTGGAGAGTTTAGGTGAGTAGATTCTGCTATTAGGTCTGTTCTAGAAGATATCAACAGCAAATTAATTTTAAAAGAGGAACAGAGAAACGCGATCAAGGCTCATCTTCTTATTCTAGGCGTGCAACTGCACGCTTTGATTTTTGTTGACAACAACTATGCCTCGCTTAACATACGTCACGCAATCCGTTGCTCTTATTGGTTGTAGGTCTATCCAATTGAGTGCAGAGGCATTTTTTTTCCTGGTTCATTCAAAACACGCCCCATAATCACAGCTCTATGGAGAAGTATCAGACTCATATTCTGACTAGAATTGATTAGGACTACGTCAGGCTAAGATTATTCTACATGAATATCAGAAACTTTAGAGCAGAGTTGGGGAATTTTTGAAACCTTTTATCTGATTTGTGAAAGTTTGATTAAAGTTGATTTTAGTAAAGTTTCTTGCTGAGATTCTAATGGAAGACAAGAAGCTCCAATTTCCATCTATTAAAAGGAGAGCTCACCCATGCAGTGATCGTCTTTTGTTATTTTACGGGACATTCTTTGGTAAGGTGAAGAGAAGTCAGTTCCAAGCATATTTTGATGATGACACAACCAGATCAAATAATATAATACCTGTCAAACATGAAAGACAAATACAACATAGTTTCCTCGGAAGTCTTGGAAATGTTGCTTTTACACTACCGTAAATCAAATGCATGTTGGTCGTTATTCTGTCTGAAGCAAGTTATCAGCTCTGGTTTGGACATTTAGGCCTATGTAGAGGGAATTATTCCATTTTCTTTTAAACAGAATATAAATGTTTTGTTCTACGGCCAAAAGTCGACAACCATTGAGAATTTTATCATTAATTTCATTCAGCTTGGGCAGTCATTCAGCTTAGTACTGTGACGTCACACAGCTGAATTCTGTGTATGAAATTCATCCTGAAATGTTTCTTCTCTACTTTCCCACGTATTATGGCAAGCCCATACCGCATTAAATGGGAAAGTTCTTTCACATGGGTGTGATTGCAGTACATTCCAGCGGACACACCCCCAATGTTTCATGGCAGAAATACTTTTAGGACTTAATCTTGCATGGCTAGATTTAGTCATTTGATCATTTAAATTTGGCTGAAGGTTTAACAACAGATATTTCTGTGGGTTGACAATCTCAGAACACATATTTATTGGTACTTTACATAGACTTTAATTTAACTTTTGGATTTAATAACAAACAGAATTTAGAAATATTTCCATATTACAGAAAAACGAGACCAGTCTCAATAAACTAGTCTAATCCAATGGAGAGAGAAAAAAAAACTTGGATGATTATGTATGGCAATGATATAAAGCAAAGTAATGAAGAATATCAAGCAAATAAACGCAGTGGTAGAGCAGTTTAAACCTTAGCAGGTGCTTCAATTCGATGACAACAGATATTGAGACATGCAAATAATTTAAAAAAAGAAAATTGTAGGAGCATTATCAATAAATCGAAACACGATTTTGATGTACATTTCATTTTTTGCTTTTAAGTAGACTGAATTTTATTGAAGAGATTCTCAAAAAAGCAGAAACATATACCCCTTTAGCATAGTTTAGGTTTTCTACAAGTTGTTTTAACCTGCTGTAGCGTTTGGACTGATTCAAGTGGAATCAAGATGCAAAAAAGACTAATACGGCCATTAACCATAAATTTTACAAACTGTGTTTTACAGACTGTGCTTCAGCGTGAAATTGTTTAGTATGGATATGAACTAAGTAATATAGAGAGCTAGGTCAGTCCAGGTTAGAACTGATTTAAAAAAAAAAAAAACACTTTTGGCCTTCTATTAAACGTTCACAAATCATATAAAGCTTTAAAAAAAAATCTGTGTTTTAAAGATTATTTTATCAGTTTACAATGATCCAAACCAGGTTCAAACTTTCTATGTACTTTAGTTTTAGAGCAAGAGCAGATTAAAGACGCACACAAAGAGGGGGAAAAAGTGAGGGAAATAGGTGGAATAGCCCTTTAAAAGCATCACAAATCAGAAGCGAACTTCAGTCTCAAATGTAGCTTCATTTTTTTTATTTTTCTTATTCAATAAAGCTCTGGTTGGCTTGTTTAAACATTAAAATATTTGAGTACTTCTATTTCAAATATCAGCCTCTTGACTTTTTAAAATCAGATATTATATCATACACATATATTTTTATAATCAGACACATATATTGGACATAGATGTTGTAGACTAACATCAATGTGTGGTCCTCTAATGTTTACTTTCAGTTACCCTTTGGCAAGTTATCTTTCAGCACAGACAGTTCATCACACATATTGTGAAACCACATTCTTACAAACCTTTTTAGGCACCTAAGGCTTAAAACCGATAATAAACTTAGATATCCGGTATTATATTAGTATGTTAAACACTAGAACTGTGCTGCACAAAAATAAATGTTTATGCTTTTAAAACAAATCAGGGGAGCAACTTACCAAGTAGAAGGTTGTGAAATTTGGAATGTCTTCTCCTCCACCTGTCAAAGTGCCCTGTATTGTCGTTTGAAAAAAATAACTAAAATAACAAAAAAATAACTAAAGCAAAGAGTCTGTAGCGTTTGTGGCTACAGTAATGCAGCCACTGTCACCAAATTAGGAGCTTTAAAACACCGGAGCGCTTTAGCTGTCTGTTCTCTGCCTGTCGCGTCGAAGGTAAGAATGCCAGGTGTGAGGGAGCGCGCGCGCTGTGATGTCACCAGGAGGAGCTCGCGGTGCCATGTGCCGTTACCAAAATAAAAAAAGTTGACACAAGCTGAAAGTGAGGGGCGGGTCGTCCCACAGAGCTCAGTGCAGAGCAAAGGAGGGAGCAGCGCATAATTGAACTATTGATCCAGAACCAGCTGCGCCCTCTGCTGTCTAAAAACTAGAGTTGCAACAGAAGCAGACTGAAAAAACGTGTCTGTTACCTGAAAACAGGTTTACAAAGTTTCTTTAGAGTTTTAAAAAAAGGACTTGAAATAGTATCACATTCTTCTGATGGAAAGCTGATTCAAAAATAATCACAATGGTAGCTTTATTATTCCGAGAGCCGCCTTAATGTTGACAACTGAATAGTTGGGCTGATTGATCACTTCATGGCCCAACCTATCTAAACCTGTAAGGTGACCTTTAATTTCACAATCTTGTAATAAAGTTTCCTATCTACACAAACCGTGTGATATAATCATAGAGTGATTCACCCAGGAAACCAATAAATGACATAATTGAATGATTTAATGTAAGTGCTATGAAGCAAATGTGCTGCCGTAGAAAACTTTTATGAGCTTCTGATGGAGTTTTATTGGATTGAAAAATTTAGGGTGTTTCCAGTCTTTAGTGGTCATTCGGTGTCTAAGAAGAAAAAAAAAAGAAATGTGCACGAAATCTATGCATATATTCTATCTCATAATGTTGTCTTACTTTTCAATTTCCAATCAGAGCCCGTCATCCAAAAATATAGTTTCTGCATTCATTTTACCAGAAGCATCACTGAACATCTATTACAAATAATATGTGAAATCACTGAAGCATGCAACAAAATAAATAACTGAACAGAAACCGCTTTTCAGATCACTCTAATATTTAATCAACTTTTTATATAAACCACGTACCATGGATATGCAATACAATGTTTCTTTTAAGCAAATATATATTATCTTTCAGTTTTACAAACTGTTACAATCTTTACAATCATTTCATGTGGCTACTAAATTCAATTTATTATGACAGTAAAGCCATCACTTAAGGATGACACGTTTTAGTTAAACTCTTACAACTCAACAATGTTATGTTAGAACCAAATACATATAATTTTCTTGAATACTGCTTTCATAATAATCTTAAAATATCAAAGAAGAACATATTACAAAAGTGATCATTGCAAACATAGCAAAGAGTGAGCTGGGAATGTTTCATGTACATTTGAACAAATGCATAACCTCCTAGGCTATTTTTGGCACATACAGTATTGGAATTAGCCTGCTGAACCATCACAGCATTCTTGATCTAACCACTTTATTAACACAGCTGCTGCTCTTGTAGTTATGAATACTTATTTCATAGTAGAGAGTAGGATGGATTTCTTTACTTTAACTGCAGGAAGACACCAACAGTCTCAAACCTTAAAACAACAAGCACACTTTATGATAAAAGAAACCGGTAGATGCATTCGACTTGTGGAAGGCAGTAATTAGATGATATGTCAGAGCCCTTACTGTCCTACAGATGTTTCTGATGCATCTTCAAAAACTGCTGCAGCTATTTCAGACATCTGTAAGAAAATCTGGGGGGGAAATGTGTAAAAGAAACATTAATAATCCAGTAAAATGCTACAAAAATCCCTGTTCTTGTTTATTTTATTTTTATCCCAGCTGTGGTTTGTGTAGGCACTATGGTGACAAGAAGCTGAGGGCAGCGGTGTTTTTTAAGGACCTCAGAGGAAGCAGTGCTGTTCAGAGGGAAGGAATGCAAATTTCCTGCAGCTGGAATAGATTGTGGAACAAGGAAGATCAAATGTTCGTTTTGTGCATATGAATCAGTCACATCAGCTTTTCTCTCAAAAGTGTAAAAAAACTGCCTCCAATCACACGCTCTCATTTAGTATGTGCTCACACATGCAAAGGTAGTGAGCGAGGAGAGAAACCCTTTCTCTTCTGGAATACAGAGTGCACATGCAGACCCTACGCATCATATCTATAATGGCACAAGGAAACGATCATTAGCTGTGCTCATATGAGTCCCATTGAGTGTTGGCAGGTAGCAAGTGAGGAAGTCAGACTGGTGTCACGTAATTCCCAGGAAAGGTCCCAAAAGTATGAGTCCGTTCTGACGTACCTGGAGACAAGAGTGCAAACACAAGTCATAAAGCAGGAAAAGAAAAATGATACATTTGAAATCTGTTATATCAATCTAGCATGTTATAATGTGAAGAAGAAATATTGCAGTTTTGATTTAAATTACTGTCGTTTATGTTGTTTTAATGTTACTTTGAGCAAATATAACAACGATGAAATGATTCTGCAGAAAGGTACTAACTAAATAATAATTAAATTTGCAATAAGAATTGGAGGGGGTTCTTGAAATAAACATGGGCATGTTGCATCGTTTCCATACAGCTGACATTCCTCTATATTTATGTAGCTTCAGTTAAATGTAGAACGATGTTATAAATAAAGAAGGATTTTGAATATTGCTGATAAATATTTTAAGCATACAACAATAATTATTTATTCATTATCTAAATACCTGTTTAGGGCAAAATAATCTACTGTGGGTCGTATTTGCACTTTGGAATATAAACTTGATAGTTCGAATTCAATCAGGATTTTTTTTTTAAAGAAATCAAGCTTGAATCTTTGATCAAATAACTTTATGAACATAAGTAGGAAGCCTCAGCGCATGAACAAAGTTACAGGGTTTACTCTGTGCCGAACACACGAGGGCGCTCACTCTCCCTGTCTGAACTCTTCAGTTAATAAAAACCTATGACTGATAATTTTTTATTATTTGAGGTGGGTAACCCCCTTGCTACCCAGGGTAAACTAAAGCATAACTCCCATTCAGAGCTTCTACTTATGAGAACTCACAGAGATTAATCTCAGTGTTCTAGAAATGCTTTCATTTGCCACAAGTCACATCTGTGTAACATCCCACAGCTCACATACCATTTTATGGAAGCTCATCGCATTATCTTCAGAAATGTACTGCAGCTTATTAAGCAACTGTGGCTGATTAAGAAATGTGGATGTGTCTTATAGACGTCCATTAGTGCTAAAAATATGTTAATGTGTTTATATACAGTATATGTTTTTGTGTATGTGTTATGCGCTTATGTTATGTACTTATGTTAGGTGTACATCTTATGTGCATTAGTTAGGTGCTAAGATCTCAAAAGAGTGGATCAGAACTGCTCTGAAAATATCCTGGAGTGGCTAAGCCTGAGTCCACAAAGGAATATGAATGAATATGGCTCTGCACAGATACACATCTACTGTAACATCCAACCTGATGGAGCTTGAGATGTACTATAAAGAAAAATATTGGACACTACCTAAAGATAGGTGAGCTAATTTTGTTGGATTGAATATGCACCTAATAAATCAGCACCTTACAGAAGCACCTAACATATGCACATGCTATTATGCACATGCAAAGTCTTATTTAAAGTGCAAACTTTATTAAATTGTATTAGGCTATTTAGACATTTAAAACAGAGGAGCAAACTCTCATGTTTCTTTTTTTTATAAACTGTATGTTTCTGCAAATGTGTCACAATACAGAGTCCTGACACTAGGTGGTGCAATTTAAAAACAATTGTGACAAAAAATGTGTCTTTTGGGTTGGATTTGGTCTGGCCTATCTTTTAAATATTATTAGGTCTTGGTTGTTATGGGTTAATTAAGACAGGCATCATTTTATGTGATTTTTAAGAGAAATTTTCATTACCTACAAACCAGCCGTCATCACATTTTTCCATCACTTGCACAACGTCCCCTTCTCTAAGCTCCAGCTCGTCTGCATTCTGGGGTTTGTAGTTGTAAATAGCTTTATACCTAAAGTTGAAAAAACAGAAAAACAAGACAAATTGGTACAAAAGCCGAGTTTTACCAAATAAATGTTGGACGTTCTTTTATGCAGCAAAGTTAAAAGACAGACGTACGGTTGGCCTTGCCCCACTATAGAACCAGGATTGTTCTGTGCTTGTGAGCTGACATGTGCATTAGAAGAAGCATATGGGCTTGGTACTGCTCCCTGGGGGGGAAACAAACTTCACATCAGGTAATGTGACATCATAAATATCGCTGTGTTGACACAAACGGGGAGAAGACAGGTGTGGGCATGCTGTGATTTCTGAAGGCGTGGGAGAGAGCAGACCTGTGAGGGACCGGTGTATCTGGGAGTGTTCGCTGAAGGAGCCATTGCTCTGTGCGTGGACGCTGACGACTGAAAAGAAGGTGAAGTCGGTCTAAATGTGGATTGTGCTGCTGCTGAGTGGGTGTTTAGGTTGGGGGTGCCGTGGGGAGAACGATGGGATGACAGTGTCTGGTTGGGGGAGTGTGACTGTGAGGCAGGGCTGCCATATGGGACAGGTGACGATGGTTTCAAGGGGGAGTGCTCGGGTTTGGGGCTGAAGGACGGGGGGGTGAAAGGAGACAGAGGTGACCGCGGCGATGGAGAGAAGAGTGGACGTCCCGGACTCTGCGGTCCAGGGGAGATAGGAGACATGGGGCTTGCTGAGAAGTCATCCGTGGAGTATTTGGTGCGGGGCATCTTGTTGACCTGCACGTAGCTGGCCGGGAAGATGCCGCTCCGGCTCGTTCCAGGGATCCTGCCCTCCAACCACTGATTGTCAACGCGTCTGGTTATGCTGATCACTTCACCCTACCATGCAGACAACAGGATTAAGTCAATTTCACATCAGCTTTAATATTATGATAACTCAGAGGTGCAGAACTCTGCATTTTTCTTTCTCCTCAAAACTTCTCCAAAGAAACAAAACACATGCAGTCATTTTTACCAGCATTGTGATGTGCTTAATCCAAGTTTATTCAGGAAGGACCTTATTCTGTAGTGTTGTAATTAAACAGGTAAAACATCTATCCATTTTCTTACACGCTTAATCCCAAGTGCGGTCGCAAGGGGTGCTGGTGCCTATATCCAGCTGTCTATGTGCAAGAGGTGGGGTACACCCTGGACAGATCGCCAGTCCATCGCAGGGCAACACGGAGACAAACAAGCAGT